CCCTTTTCACCTTCCAAACAACCGCAGGCTTCTTCTAGCCCTCCCGGACGGCCCAAGCTGAGTTCCAGGTCTTCATTTCCATTTCCCAGTTTGGTCATTCCTAGCCCGGGGACTCCGCAGGCTAGTGAGTCAAGACCAGTGTTCCCTCTAAGCTGAGTGAGTGTGGGCTAACTCACCGTTTTTTAGCCTCCAGCTCACAGAATTTTGTCTTAGCTCAGGAAAGATGGCTCCAGAGCAAACTAATGAATTTTGTCTTAGCTCAGGAAGGAGGGCTCCAGAGCAAACTAATTGATGCAGTAGCCAAATGGCTCGCTCACCACTTTAATGCCAGGAGCACACAAATCTGCGCTCAAATGACCCCACAGCTTAGAGGGAACATTGGTCAAGACAGTCCACGGGACGGGACGGGACTGTTAGCCCGACAGGGGTCCCCAGGATCATGGAGCCCCAAATAATCAGTCCCGGAAGGAATCCTTTGCTTCCTTTGCAACTGAAGGGGAAAGAACTGGAACTTCTTTCCTAAAATGTCGGAGGGAGGCTGTGGTCTGATGGAGCCAGTTTGGCGCAGTGGTTGAGTAAGCGGACTCTAATCTGGGAGAACCGGGTGTGATTCCCCACTCCTCCACTTGCACCTGCAGGATGTCCCTTGGGTCAGTCACAAGTCCTGTCGGAGCTGTCCTTGAGGACAGTTCTCTCAGAGCTCTCTCAGCCCCACCTGCCTCACAGGGTGTCTGTGGTGGGGAGGGGAAGTGTTGGGTGTTACAAGTTAAAACACTTCAGTATTTTCAGGGTTAATGGTGTTTGTTAAGTCACATGTTTGTTTGTAACCAATCTGTTTAGACAATAGGATGCCCGGGAACTTTGGAGCTAGTTTGCTACTCTGATTGGAAACCAAGGTGTCAAGTATTAGCATTTTATGGTTTCTCTTCCGTCTGTGTGTTCTTGGTTCTCCTTCTGTGTGTTCTTGGTTCTGAGTCCAGGGCTATTTTTGGGCAGGAACGCACAGAAACGGAGTTCCGGCTGGCTCCCGATTTGGCCACGCCCAACATGAACTCATTAGCATAATAGGCCACACCCAACAGCAGGAACTCATTAGGATTGGCTACATTAGGGGTGTGTGGCCTAACATGCAAAGGAGTTCCTGCTACAAAAAAAGCCCCTGGGTTTTGACAACAAACAAGGTAAACAGAATAAGAAGCAGAAGGTGGGCGTGGCTGGATGACCACACTTCTGGTAACAT